AAGCGATGATTTGGTCGAGAGAAATGAAAATCCTCACTTCGAAGTTGGCATCAGTTGCTGCCTCCCGACCGCTTGGCTGGGGTCCTAAGGACAATGAACACGTTTGGTTGGACAAACTTGCTGATAGGGCTAGGATCCGGCCCCAATGGGTAGCAGAATAAGTTACCGCATGCACGAAAAGTCTTACTTTTACGGTAAAGTTAGCAGTACAGTTTTTTGATGTATTCCCCACCAGTGTTCATGCAAATTCCCTGCGCTCAAACCATTTGGAGAAGCAGCTGGGCTAGGATAAAGTGGGTACTTCTCCAAGCAGTTCACTAAACATTTCTACTGCAGCTTCTGAAGACTCAGCGGATTTCACGCATCATACGCTTAATATTTGGGGATAAAAAGATCACAAGGAGCCAGGACTGGACAGTAGGTAGGTGATCAACTTCCCAGATGCGTTCTCTAGTCGGCAAAGCTACGATGACATGCGACCTGTGTGCAGGTGCGTTGTCATTGTGCAGAAAAGTTCCTCGTTCTGGAGTTCTTAGGCGACGCCTGGCTACGTCTACCAGCACTTGTGGCAAACATTAGGTAGTACACCAGTCTCCGGTGACTGTACGTTGCCGTATGAGCCGATCTTGACCACGAACACAGCCACCATCTGCTTGACCACACTGCACTCACGCCGGAATTGCTGAGATGGCGCCCCACCAACGGTCGTCTACTGTGCCCAGGGTTGCTTGGTCTCTGAGTCGAAACTATACCCCCAGGTCTCCTCAACACTGAGAATCTCCAGAAAGGTATTGAAACGTCCACCATCAAACCTGGCAAACACGTTGCGGCGCTACTTCACACGAGCTGCTTTCTATTCCCCACTGAGCTGCTGTGGGACCCAGCGTGCGCAAACCTATCTGAGTGCGAGGTTCTCATGCAGGATGCTACGGATTAATCCCAATGAGATCCCAATGACTTTCTCAGGCCGTACCACAGTCACCCGCGGGTCTTCCTCCAATATTGTTTACACACCAGCCTTGTTGTTCGCGGCGGTGGCCTTCACCGGTCGACCACACCAAGCCTCATCATTCAGGGACCGCCTGCACGCTTGACTTCCGCAAAACGCTGGAACACGGTGGTTTTTGAAGGCGCCTTGTCCCCAAATGCAGCATGTAATCGCTCAATACTCGTGCTGGTTTAAACCACATTTGTAGCCATAGAAACTTATCGCCCTCTAGTGACATCGACTGAGTTTCATACTTACAGTCAGAGTATAGCGACCCTTATAACTTGTGAGCTGTGCTGGGCTGTTAATGTAAGGTTTTGTGCGCGTAACTTAATGAACAATCCTCAGAATGGACTACAGTTCACATATTTTTTTCATCTGCACCTAAACTTCGTACTGCGTATCCAGAAACTTATTGCTCTGTCCTCATATAACTCAGTGATTTGAGCTTGATGCGTGAAAGACGGCACTAAGCGGTTCCCTTGCAATTCATGCACAAAAAACAAAACACCAAACAAGAGCACTGTGCGATGTTGCCGCCAAATACGAGTTAAATACGAATGAACCAGTGGTCGAACACCAGTAGTCCTTTCATGACTGTCGGTTTGCTTAGCAAGGTTTCACAACCGTACAGAAGAATTAAACGGACGATTGAATTGTAGATCGTACTCCTCAGAACAAGTGTGATGTCACGTCGAGGCCATACTCGGTGAAGGTTAACAATAGAGGTGTGAACTTTTGCTTTTTGGCGTTGGCACTTCGTCTTCTATTCCACAAGAGCTCGTACAATTTACTAGGCAGGTCAATTTAGAAAAATGTCGACTGACTTCTACCATGGATCAGCACAGGGAGTGTTTGGCACCAGTATTGAAAGAAGGCTTTGCATTCAGTGTATGCAAAGCATATCTCGAAACGATAAAATTGTCAGTGTCAAGTTATCAAACACTTGTTGGCGGATAGATGAACCGTCACCGATTAGGGAAATATCGTCGGTATATTCCAAGTCAATGAGTCGATCAGCTGGGAACAGCTCAGAACCTTCTAATTTGTGTCCAAAGAAAAGCCTTATCATGACTTCATCAGTTGTGAAACCAAAAAAGCAAGGTAAAAGCGGGTATCTCTGTCTCACACTGTGCGGGATGTTGTGGTGCGGCGACAGTTTGTCATAAGCTCTCACTGTGCTTGAACTGCAGGCGTAGATCGCCCTCATAAAATTCAGGTATTTCTCGGAAACACATCGACCCAATGAAGCAAAGACACTTTTGACTTAAAGAGACACGATCAAGGAGGAGCATCAATGCACGTGACGGTGCATCAAGATATGAAGTGTATTTGTCTCAGACTGGAGATATCCCAGAGTTAGCTAAGTCCATTGCGCACAATTCTAACTAAAATTTTATCTCATAGTACACCTAGGCGGTTAGTGCAGAATGTGGCACTGCATGTCGAGTTACATCGTTTGAATAGAATAACATTGTTCCGCTGGACGTCTTTGACCGTCAATGCTTGCAAAGTATCTATTACATCTACCAGTTTTATTGTACTGTGATCCACCAGTTGATTTTTGCAGGAAACACTGGTGCCTCACCTTATCGCCTTGGTTTAGTAGGTCATGTAATTTAGGCTATAATATACGTTGTCGATGCACAAGTTAGATGTAGCCCCGAAGTGGACATATAATAGAGTGATATAAATGAACAAAGAACTTGTCTGAGAGGCTTAGTTAGGCTAGTAGGTGCTTCTTTCCTGTACAATGGACTTGGGATACTCTATACATAGAGACTAAAAACACTATCAAACTTGGCGCATACGTAGTAGTGGCGCTCTCTTACATTTTACTGGTAATATCCCAACCCAAACATTTGTTCAAGGGACAGATGCTAAGTGCTTTGTCTTAGAAAGAAGAGCTGTGGATATGCATGTTAAGTGCAACACGTAGTGGGTTTAGTTTCAGCAAATTAGTTCATCCTATAATTAGTAGCTACAGACTAGTGAAGAAAGTGGGAGAAAGGAGCGAAAGCATAATAAAAATTTAAGGAAAAAGGTTACAAACAACAATCACTAGATTAATATATTAAAAGAGCAATGAAACTAGTGAGACGTAAGATTTACATTGCAAGATCCCAATATAGGCGTTTGTAGCCATTAGTGTAACCAAACTCATCATCCAAACAATGAAATAAAAAATAAAAAAGGCAAAACAACTTACAACGTAGTAGCGTGAGCTTTGTCTAATAATAGCGTCAAATGCAAGCTTATTTATACGATCTGGCTTTGAAAATGTGCAAATATTCTGTGATTTGTGAAGTATAAGTCGTGTTATCCATTATTCGGATAAGTTTAGTTTATGGAAAGTTTGAGTTAGACTTTTGAGATAAATTGCATATTGTAACTCAACTAGGTTGTCCGATAGATAATAGTTGTACTCGTAAAACAAAAACCAATTAACGCGTCAGCATAAAAGAGCCGAAGTAAGAAACAATGACGGTAGATGGTAGGTATAATGTGGTTCCCGTTTAAAAAGCTTAGGAAACAGGTACACTTAAAAGTGTCCAGCACATGGTAGCCGCACGAACAAACAGTTTATGTAAACTACAAGCGATAGAGATATATAGTGTAAAACCTTAGTTAAACCTGTGAGTCCATACGACCAATATTAGTACGTTGTGATAACTGCGAGAGCAACCGTGGTCAGGCATGCATTACGATGCAGATTTTCCCATAACAAAACAAGCATACATGACAAAGAATTACATCCAGCGCAACATACTGCATAAGTTTATACACTAAATCATGTGTAGAAAAGTGGCAACCAACAGCAATAAATGTATGGTGATTTTCAGTCACACTCTTGGAAATAACATGTTACCAAAACAAACACTAATGATGTAAGGATGGCGTAAGGACATAAAACCGCAAAAGATAGTACTTTCTGTAAAATGTAATGTAATTTGTTCTGAACTTTAACAATAGATAAGATATGCTAGAGTGACGTCTTGTAATCTTCGCTTATTTACTGCAATTGTGCCGCCGAACTTAGTGGATCAAGTTCGCACAGCTACCGCTGTTTCCAGATAAGACGGTTGGTAAAACAAGTTTAGTAAGCAAGACAAAAACAGTTGATTTATGAGCATTGTTAAATTAAAGGCAAGATGAAGTTTATATGTGGGTGAAAATTAGAGCCAAAATAGCGCATCCTCCAACAGGATATATCGGTTGTTGCAACCTACCGTAAAACAAAGAGCAGTCAAGTTGACTATTTCAAAAAGGATCAGAAAATAACTTTACGCAATGACACAAGCAAATTTATTTAATGACAAAAGTTGTTCCAAATCAGGCAATGTCATAGGCAACAGACATGCAATACGCTTAGAAAGATTATGAAAATGTCCAAATTTTGAAAGCCCTTAGTGGTATTGGGCCTCCCGATCTATTTAAACTAGCTGCCTCCGACCACCTGTGGGGGCATGGATTTAAGCTTAAGCATTAGACATCCAGGCCAGAACACAAGGGTCAAATCCTTTGCGAATCGTGTACTTCATACTTGGAACAAGCCCCCTTCAACCTTGATTGCAGGCATCACTAAAGTTTCAAAAACAGCTTGGATAAACGTTGGTCAGATCTTGTCCCGAATTATTTATTGTATGTGTATTGAAAACGGTCAGAAACCTTAGTCTATGCTCCACAAAAGCACATGGGTTGCTCCTGTTCGTTCCTCATTGCTTTTGAAAAAGTAAGGTAAGCAACTCAAACATCAAAGTCCTGGCAGCCCTGGTTTGCTTGTCAAAATAAGAAACGATGTTCGTAAAGCTGGAGCCTATTTTGTCTTTGAAACCTGACCTGCCGTGACCTGAAATTGTAGAGGCACCACATACAGACTAGGAAATATAACTAGCAATTAAAGTGTAAACAAAATACCAGGACTGCTGTATATTTGGAAAGTCCAAATAACCAACGTTGTCACAGCTAAATGGCAATTTAAGAGAGCATTGCGAAATAGTTTCAGACTTACCGAAATTTTGGTGAGTACGTAGAGCAGCAAGGATAGACACGCCAGGTAGATTTGAATCCTCTTTCCACCAAAGCGTTTCTTCATATACTCTGGAAGTGTGCAAACCTAACAAAAAGCCGGGCGCAGTTGGCTCATCTAGAAAAGCAACTTACCCCACTTGAAATATACACTGGAAGAAATACCCAACCCAGCAACTGCAATAGCACAGATGCCTAAAAATCGAAAGAACGTTTATTTCATAGTATACTATTGAAAAAGTTCCATAGCAGAAGATGAAGTAAGTGGATAACTCACATTTAGCTCAAGAGCAGCGATGCCGATTCCAGTGGCAGCTCCAGATCCAGCAAGACCAATATAGTGCTCGCTACCAATATTACTGGCGTAAAGTGAAGCTCCAATCTAGCGGAGAAAAAAACATTAACTATGTCCTTACTGGTAACCAAGTCATCAGTCTTCCAGCGAGGAAAAAACCACTAACAGTGTTCCTCTGCACCGCGAACATCGCCTTCGAACAGTTTGACAACCAGATATAATTTACTTACAACAAGTCCGGTTATTATCACGCTGACGAAATAGACCACTAAAACCGCTATATCGAGAGCATCAATCTTAGCATTAAGAGGCATCCTCAAAGCACTGTAATATTTCTCCCGTCCGGAGTTTCGAGCTCTTCCGTGTCAAAATAGTATGACGGGTCGCAATAGACTCTTAGGGCTGCAACACAAAAGGAATATGTTGTAGACGGCTGGATGCTCAATCGTCTAGTAAGAGGCAGATGTAAGGAATCAGCTAAGAAAGCCTGAGAGAAGGAAGGAAAAGTACCGGTGCGGTAAAAGACGGTAAGGGTAACAGGAAACTAAACTGATCGACCTCTTACTTGTTAACGTGTTACCGTGACGCCCGCGGACGGGCTATATTACTCCCCCTCTAGGCAGGCGCTGTCCTCAGCGCCCCAAATGGCTCTCACCGCATCAAATTTTGTACCTGCAGCGTATTGAGCGCGGTATATTAGGCTCGAGATATAAACAAACAGCAGTACAATAGCAGAATAATTAAGTATTGCTTCAGGTGCTACAACCTAGTTTCGTGTACTGCTATCGTGAACTGGCAGGGTAGCCAAATATGTAATATTTCTCCGGTACGGCGTTCTGAGCTCTTCCGTGTCAAATAGTATGACGGGCGGCAATAGACCCTTAGAGCTATAACACAACAGAAATACCTCGTAGATGGCTGAATGCCCAACCCCATATTAAATAGCCGATGGAAGGAAGCACATCAGGTCAGGTCAAACGGACGATAGAGGCTTTCGCCTAACGAGCGCTTAGTTGTTTGTGCCGGTAAGTGAAGCGGCCCCCGACACTTCGACGTTGGATTGCCTTCTTGCTTCTGCAATGGAATGAAGCAAGAACAAGAGCAACCTTTGCATTTTCATGCGTCCGCATCAAAATGCACTACATACTCCAGCACATTTACAATATCTTTGGAAAAAGGATGGACCAACACTCATCTACGTCCCTTTGGAAGGCTTCTACAGGCTCATACTCCACTAAATCAGAAGGAAGTTTATTCCAGAAGTAAACTACTCGGTTCGTAAAAAGCTTTGCCTTGATGTCCAAACAAGCTCTATGTTGTTTGAGCTTCAGACGATACCCGCGCAGATGGTCTGACATAGCCAACGCAAACAGACGGGTGGAACTAATACCACTAAGTCCCTTAATGATCGTAAAGGTCTTTCTCAAATCCCCTTAACCTAGGACGTTCCAAGGAAAATAATCCCAAGCTACTTAGACGATCATTCTATGGCTTCCCTTGTTGACCTTCGATCATCCTGGTCGCAAGTTTCTGGATCTTTTCTATACGCATGACGTCACTCCGGAGGTACGATGCCCAGGCCTGAACACAATATTCCAGATGTGGTCTAACCACTGCTTTATATAACGGCAAGAATACTTCTGCTTTAGTGTTACTCAGCACTCTCCTAAGACGAAATAACCCTTGCCGCGCTTTATGTCCAGCATGGGGACACTGTGCCGAAGACTTAAATTGTTCACTATGATGGCACCTAGATCACGAGCTTCATCAGTACACCGCATTGATAGAGATCCCGCAGGAGATTGAACTGCGATTTCGCTGCCACTATTGGTCAATAGTTGAGATTTATTGGCATTCAGAGGTAGATCCCATTGGGTCGACCAAGTCACCACAGCGATTATGTCCTTAGCCAATGTCACTCGGTTTCCCCTACTGACTAGCTTTAAGTCATCTGTGAAGATACAGCAGGGATCCTCAAGAAGAGGAGCCAGGTCATTTATAAATATAAGAAACAACAATGGACCCAGTACCGAACCTTGTGGTCAACGCTGTAGGCATGGCCCACATTAGAACTAACTTCCCCAACCTTGAATCTGTGTCCTTCCATGTAAGAATTTAGAGAGCTACAGTTATAGTTGAGGATGCAAACCAAACCATGTCAACTTCTCAATTAAACATCGGTGATTCACAGAGTCAAAGACTTTATGAAGTCAAAATGGCACACCTCTACCGACACCCCACTATCAAGAAATCGGGTAATCTCGTCTAAAAGACACAATAAATTGGCAAAAGACTTCTTTTTAAGAAAGCCATGCTGTTCCGCTATAATTAGATTGTGCTTAGTTAAGTGCTCACAGCTCCTATTTCTTATAAGCTATTCCAAGCCCTTCAGCATGATGCTGGTCAAACTAGCAGGTCTATAGTTAAGGGGCACCGACTTAGAACCTCTTGTGGACGGCAACAATGGTCGCCTCCTTCCAATCATGTTGCAGCTTGCCTTCTTGAAGAGACTGGCTGAATAACTCCGCATCAGGATACTGATGGATATCAGCCAGGGGCTTAATTATGACTGGATGTACACTGTCAAGACCAGCTGATTTATAACGGTTCAAACTCGCTAACACAGTGAAGACCTCTGGCACATGGAGAATAATTTCCCACATTGTATAGCTTGTTGAGCAGTGCGGCTTTGATGGCAAGCCTGACCCATTATCCTTCCGATGCAGGTTTTGGTAGACACGTAGCAGCTTTTCTACATTATCGACGTCGTCTACACCCTGGGTACCGTCCTCCATAGTTAGACAGCCGAACACCTCTTTTAGGTAAGCATTTGATTGGACATAACTGTAATAACACTTGGGATATTTTTCGCAAATTTTGCCAACTTAAGCTCATACGAGTACTTCGCCTGCCGCTGCAACTTAATAGTCATGTTTCGACACCATTTATTTTGCAGCAAAAGTTTCTTGATATTTTTCTCACTCTGGCATTGCGCCTCTTTATCTCTATCAATCTCCTCCACCATCGGAATTTTCTAAGATGTCTCCTGGGCCTAGAGAAGCAAATTCGCTCAGTAACTGTACGAGCCCACTTTTGAGTAGAAGACGCCTCATTTCCAAAGTCCTGTTCAGGGATCCAAGTGATTTGTAGGGCTCGATCCCGCAGCTTCATAAAATCCATACGATTTAAATTCCTTCCCATTCGACGGTTCTCTGCCAGCCTCGTTGTGTCCAGAGAGAAGGACGAAACGAAATGCTCACGCTTACCTGTGGATGACTCCACGCGTAGGTCAATCAAGTGACGATATCTGGCGATCACGACACCAAGGGTTGAAGGCGCACTCCCAGCATGATTCCTACTCGGAACATGGACGTATTGCTCGAACGCATTAACATGCATCCAATCCACTAATTCCTACTCCAGAGTATCCACCCTGTTTTCAGCAAGTTGTCCATCAGCATGGGAAAGGTTTAGGTCACCGACGGTGCGGCCATTGCCGCCTGTCTTAGCAACGTACTAAGATCTTTGTCCTCTTCTCGCGTGGAGGATGGGCTACGATAAACACATACTATAATGTCCAATGTACCCCATGTTCTTAGGTATCAGGATACCACCTTAACGTTAGCAGAGCTCATGGTAAAGGGAGCATCTCAGTGTTTATATTGGCACTTTATAAGCAAACGTACTCCTACACCAGTTTGATATTTGGGTCTGTCAGCTCTGTCGCACGCAAAGCCTATAGGCAGATCATCAATAAGTTCTTCTGGAGAAAGCCATGACGCCGACACACCGGCCACATCAACATCTAGGAAGCACGGAAGTAGAAAGGAAAAATGTCGGAGAAGAATAAGCAGGTAAGGGTACCAAAAAGCAAAACCGATCGACCTGCTACATGTTAACGTGTCACCGTAACGCACACGGACCAAGAACGGCACGATTTCTGAAACAACATTCGTAAGCATTAATATTACTCTCGCCGCGTGCTGATACGAACAAACAAAGCAGGTTCAATAAAAATAATTAAAACACGTAGTGTGTATGCTAACAAAAATGTATGTTTAAGGTGATACATGCTAACATAAAATGTTACGGTTCACAAAGTGATATACGTCGTAACTGTCGGACGGATTACGGGACCGTTTGATTGCCCTATGAAAAATTGAGTTGTTTAGGACGTTCCGTGATACAAATGATACATAGCAACGAGATTACCTTGCGACGTTGTCAAGGAGGATGAATGTGCAACTACCTGGAAATAGTTAGAAGGTGTGGAGGAAATTGGAATGTGATACCATAGCAATGGTTACCGGTAAGGGCGCATATGTATGACGTTTGTTTAATGATTTCGGTGGCCATAGTTGTTGTTTCTGCTACCGCTGATTGTTGATGATGGTGAGCAGTTCAGACCTGTGGTTATTGGGAAGTATGAAGGTCTTGAAGACATTGAGGAGCAATTGGGACTTTTCAGATTGAAACGGTGACTTGTTTTACCCGAGTTTCCTCTATGTCTGCTGCGGCGTACCAGGGTGGAAGGCGGAAGCAGTTGCCGGATGCGGACGGCCACAGTCACATCCTGTACCGCTGCGTACATCGTCAAAGTTCAGGATCACGTGGCAAGCGGTTAATATTTATGCAAAACGTGAACTAACGCAGGTAGGTACGAATCGTACAAATGCTAGGCGCGATTCTCGGTGGTTGTGAAGGAGGGTTATTATGTGGTGGGAAGTTACTTCATGATCCATAATCATGATTTCCACTTGGGTAACCCGTGGCTGTATGCACCCAACCGTCGGCTGTCACCGCGGCAGGAGAAGGGGGTGCTGCGTTTGATGGACAGTTTTCATAGCACGCCGGACTTGAGGCGCATCATCTATCAGACGTACGCCAAACGTGTAGCCCGTATGGACCTGAGTAACCTGCGGATTCGTCGTCGAAATGGAACGTCATGTGAAGTGTCTTAGGTGGCAAGGACGTTGAAAGGTCACGGTTTTTGCCATTTGGTGTCTGAGGTTAGCTAGATTCGATATATATTCTTCTCTAAATCTGTAGTCCGTGGCATGTTTAAGCGTTATGTCGAGGTTTTATTGTGCGATGCGAAACACTAGTTAAATTATGGTGGGTACATTACGTGGCATTGCACGTTTTTGGACGTAACAGGTCTAGGGATTTCTTGCTTCTATGCCCTATTACCGGATAAGACGTCCTATAGCTATGGGCAGGCGGTGGGGGCGTTGCGGGAGATGGTACCTAGAAGCATACGTTGCCGCACGGTGGTGGTGGCTAAATGTGTTGCTCAGCTGCAGGCATTTCAACGTTTTTATCCCAACGCGAAGATCATATTTTACCGGTATCATCTTAAAGGGGATATGGCTAGACTTTGCGGTCGCATACGTGGAATATCAGATGCTCGCCAAATCCACTAACGCGGGTGGCTTCATAACCTGCTGTATACTTGGGATACGTCGGTATTTGAAAGATTATTGAACGCGGTGCGACGTGGTAATCTGGAATGCTACCGGTATTTGTGCGCAAGGTCACTGCAACACGCAGACACTTGGGCGGCTTACAGACAAAGGGAAGCTGTGCTTTTTGAATGCATACACATTTGCATACACATTTGGTAGATAATCATAGAGTCCGTGCTTAATGTGCCTAGGAGAAGTTGCATTTGTCAACACCAAGCTGAAGGCATCCTGTCCTCTAGGTGCAGACGCCTAAGCGGTTGCTGCAGTCGAGCCTTGCCAGAGAGCATGATCAACTAGAGGATCGCCTGCTTTAAGATCTCACTTCGCATCGGGAGGGTGGCAAGCTATCATGTCTCTCACTTGGCGGAAGCCGAGACATAAGTTGATGAAATTTAGCATTATCAGAAGAAATGCTACAATAGTAATAGGTAGCTTTTATATGCGCAAATCACAACAATGGGTCCTGCTCCCAATAAAATGGGGAGGCTAGGTCCACGGCCCTAAGCATGTACCTAAATAGTATATCATCTGCACTATTCATCATGAGAAATAACTAAGTGTATGCGGCAGGTGAGAAGACAAAAAGATAGTAAGGAATCAAACGTCGCTGTAATGAGTTCACAGGAATGAACGTTCTAAATGGGCGGCTTGTTCTGGACCGGGGTCACCAATAGTTGGGTGACGCTTGGGTAGTGGTCGGTAATCAATGACACGTAACAGCCCTGTCAAATACGGGACAGTATAGCAGTTGGCGAGTGAGCCCAACGGGCATTGTGCAGACTACAAAAATAGAGAGCGAATCTACGAGAGCGCCAAACGCTTCAGTAAGATACTCGTCAAAAGTATTTATGGCAACGAAAGGGTCGTCAGTAAATCCAATAGATGTTTAAGCAGTTAAAACAACGGTAAAATCTACCGTTGCAAAGCACTGAAAGAATATTTTTACGGCACACTACATCCGTTTTCTAAAGGTTCAACATAGACAGCTCGAAAATTAAAAGGGACCGCTTGACTGCTCAAGGACGAGTGAGACCGTGCTCCACAGCGGTCGATGATCAGCTGGCGACTGGGAGGTTGCGGTGGCGGACAACAAGCTAATTTGCCTTGGTGAAGGAAAAGGGAAGAATACATTGTGATGGAAGAGCTATTAATGTGGAGAAAAATGCTATGTGTTGTAACGCGGACCCAGGTTGATATGAGTATGATGATAGTTTGAATGCACCGTAAAGTGCGTTGGCGGATTCAGTCGCTGTCATGGCTGTCGACGATACCGCTGCTTTCCGTGCTGTCTTCCTTCAGCGTGTGTACCGCGCTTTAATATGCATACTGCGTCATGTTTCTACAAGTCGTATGTCCTGACCTCGGTTGGTTATACGAGGAAAACCGGAAAAGAGTTGCCTGAGGGTATGCGATACAAATCCGTACACTACAAATGCGTGCATTGTACACGAAGAGGATACACATGCCAGTGGTAAGTTCACCTGTAATGTATGTGAGACGCTTATTAACTTTAAGTACAAAAGTTACTACTGCAAGGCACATATAGCCGTACCGCATAACGGCTGGTGCTACGACATGGTATCCTACAGCCGTCTGCACACCCACAATTTCCATGTTGGTAAGCCGTTTCTGTATGTCACCAACAGACGGCTCCCGCGGCACGCGGAAGAGGACATCTATCGCATGATGCAGTCTTTCAAGGACACACGCGAGCTCCGGAGGTATGCGTTGAAGCACTACGGTAGAAGGTTGAACCGTTATGACCTCCGGAGCATAAGAGATAAGATGAAGGGAAAGGTAGAGGGGAACTCGGTTAACGCTGTCATACAATTGCTAGAGACCGCCGGTCAATGTAATGTAGAGTATGAGGAGTCCGAGGTACGCTACATCTTTTTTGTTCCCAGGTACGTACGTGACCTTGTGGAGATTTATACTGAGGTATTGCCGGCAGACGCGACGCACCAGATGAACTGCGGTGGCTACGTACTGTGGCACTGCATGTTGGCAGATTTGCATGGTATTGGGCGTTCCATTTTATACGCCTTGCTTCCTAATGAGACAACGGCAGCGTACATGAACGCCGTGCGCAACATGCGGCTGATGTTACCAGCGACTGAGGCAGCACGGACGGTGGTGCTTGATAAGTGCATGGCCCACATGCATGCATTCCAATTGGTGTACCCCTGCACGCGGATTGTACTGTGCCGGTTCCACCTACCGAAGGATGTCACCCGTCGTTGCAACGGGTTATCCACAAAAAGTGCAACCGACAGGTTGGTTTATTAAGCAGTCCGTACGGAACTTAGTGTACGCTAGGACCTATCGGCTGTTCGTCGGGTATTTGACAGCCATTAAAGGGGGAAACGCCGACGCGCACAGATACTTAGTACGAACGTGGTTGCCATTTGTCTCATCATGGACGGCTCACCGTTTGACGTCCACCTGTTTGTTCGGTTGTTTCACAACGAGCCGCGTGGAGAACGAAAATAGGCATTTGAAGAGTGGTCTTTCGGAGCGGACCTCTTTATTAGACCGGTTTACCGCGGTTGTTAACCGCGTGATGGATGCTCAAGCTCAGTGGGAAGATGTAATGGGTAAAACCGATTTGTCTCAGCATCCCATGGGCGCTTGCTTGCATAGCCTAGGGCAGGCAGCGTTACAGTTTTCAGGGTATGCAAGAACGCGCCTGCGGTGCCATCACACTAGAGAGAAGGTGACAGTGACGGAGTTGTCCGATGACACATGTGTAGTGCAAGGTACCCGTATAAGGTACACCGTGTTAATGGGTGAGGAGGTAGGAGGAGGAGGAGGAGCATGAAAAGAAGGTACTGCGTTTTCGAGACTTGCACACGAAAACGGCTAAGGTGTATAGGCCTCCAAGGAAGCGTCGCAGCCATGCACCACTCCCAGCCAACTACGACAATGACAAGTGCGCTTCGTGCCTCCAAACTGACTGCGAGGCACAGAGTGGACAGGTGGTTGCCTGGGTCAGTGCTGCGATTGCCGCCTTTGGTATCATCAGGCATGCGTCTCGTACAGTGGACAGTAACACTTCACTTGCCATCGTTGTATGTAAGTCCTATTTTTATGGCTACCTTTTTCTTTCATTCATAACCGTGCTATCCATTGCTTCCGCTTGATCGTTAGGTACACACACTGCTCCCATATGCGGTGCCACCCCTACGTGACGTTTACGTCACGGGATCACACATACTGGGGTTGGTCAGGTGTGCCAACGGACATCAGAAGCACCCACAATTCCGCTGCCTTTTTAGGATGCGCATTTACTTATCAGTTTCTTCATGACAACGCCATCTACCAAGCAACCGGATTAACGATTGCGCTTTGCAAGGCACCGGAGTAACCTTAGTTGACAAGGTAAGCACCACGCTTGATGTATTCTACATGGTACAAGTATTCCTAGCGCTCAAACTGCATTTCTCATATCACACCACCTCCCAGT